CTAGGATTGTGCTTAAGGTGCCTCAGGTAACAGGCAGGGAGCTTGGACCCTGTCTATCAAGGTTGATGACGGGTCATTAAAATCCAGGACAGGGAGGGAGGTACGAGGCTGGCTGAAACCCTCTCGAGACACGTACCATTGAGTATTGTTCATGAAAGCCCATGGAATTGAATTAAGATCAATGCACAGGAATGGTTGACAGAGGGAAAAAAAGTACTTTGGTCAAATTGTGTTCACTAGAATGTTTTTCTACGGAGCCCTCTGGGCAAACAGAGGAAACCAGCCCTTCCAAAGAAGGGTTTCCTAGAGAACTCGAGGTTCGCCTCATGTTTAAGTTAACAAAACATGTAATGCTTATGGCTTTTGGGTGTAACTCTGTCTTCTTCAGCAGAATACATGGAGATTAAATATTTCTTAAGACCGCCTATCATTACCCTCCAGGGCATGTAATGTGATACATAGTACGTGCTAACAAGGAATTGGTGCTGTTTGCCGCTGTTCTTAATGACCCCAGGTCATGATGGAGTTCTGAACTCCGCCCTTGCCCTGGCCGGTGGCTCAGGTGGCTGGAGCTTCGTCCCGAACACCTAAAGGTTGCAGGTTTGATCCCCTGTTGGGGCGAGTCCAGGAGACAGTCTCTCTCCCTCTCTCCCTCTCCCTTCCTCTTCCCCTCTCTCTAACAATCAATGAGAAAAATAAAACATATTCTCGGGTGAGGAGTTAAAAAAAACAAACCAAATTTTATTTTTTAAATCTGCTCTTTATAATATTTGTGCCTCCCTTTTCTGGCTGAGACTACCCCTCCAGCACAGTGATAGGTTCCTTCTGACATGTGGATCTGGGCTGAGAAAACAAAGCTTATTTCAATAATATATAAACTAAAAGTAAGCAGGGCCCGAGCTGGCACACGGAGGACAGGTAAGATGTGCTATTTTTGTGAGTGAGCTCCTTGTTAGTACTGGGGCAGCTTGAGACTTTGTCACGTTCTTGTCCTCGGCTGTGTTCTTTAGAACTGAGGGTGTCGGGTTGACTGCCAGCCAGGTGAGGGGCGTAGTTCTGCCAGGCTGTCCGCGCCGCTCTATGCTTTTTGACAGCGGGGAGAAGGGTGTGGTGGAGAGGACACACTTAGGGCTCCAAAGCCAGCCCTGTCACCTGTTAGTGGGGGGACCTCAGGCAACTTGTTCAACCTCACGCAGCCCTGATTTCCTTGTCTGTAAGTGGAAATACGGAGAGCTGCCGTGACGGCTACGTGACATTGTACACGTGAAGTACCTGTCCAGTGTCTGGCACACCGGTGCTGTCGACATTGCTTTTCCTCCCCCCACACCAGCTTCCTGCAGACAAGGCCACCTCGGAGTCACCAGGCTGTGACCACAGGGAAGCAGGAGGCCTGGGTGCTCTCGGGGGGTCACCTGGTGACCGTGTGCCTGTCTCCTCTGGGAGGACGGCCAGACTAGCTCCGCGACACCTGCTTCCTGCTCTGGAAGTCGGCACTCCTGGCCGCATGTCCGTGACATGGCACAAGGGAGGAGCTCACGCCCCGGAACAGGCTTTCGTCCGCTTGCCCTGTGGCGAGGCTGGATCCTAGGCAGTTGGCATGAGGTGTGCAGCAGCCTTGCAGTTACAGCCGGCCCTGCTCACCTCAGACACCCGTCCTCGGAGCTCGTGGTGCAGCTTCAAGACGTCTGGAGTTCCTGTTCCTTGCTTGTGACATTTGGGTGGGGGGTGAAGGAAGGATCCTTTTTAATTGTCACCCGAGGACATTTTTCCATTTATCTTCAGATAGTTGGGAGGGAGGGAGGGGAGGAGGAGGAGAGAGAGAGAGAGAGAGAGAGAAACATTGATGTGAGAGAGACATGTCAATTGGTTGCCTCCTGCATGACCCCAACTGGGGCCTGGGACCGAACTGCAACTGAGGTACGTGCCCTTGACTGGAACTGAACCTGAGACGCTTTGTTCCGGAGGCCAACACTCCAACCACTGACTCAAACCGGCCAGGGCAAGGAAGTATCTTTTATTCCAATTTAACCTCTTTGGGTTCCTCACCATTTCTGAACAAGGAAGTGACATTACATGACACCACGTGGGGCGGGGTGGCGGGTGCCTTCAGTATTCCTGCACACCAGCCCTGCTGCCCCCCGGAGGACGGAGGACTGAGTCTCAGTCCCTCCCCACCTCAGCTTCACCAGTGGAGGACAGCCCTGGGGCGGGGCCCGGACTGCAGAACCCCTGCTGTGGGCCGCAAAGGTCCCCTTCCAGGAGAATCTTGCCCTGGAGCTGATGCAGCAGGAACTGCCCCTCCGCCTTCTCCACTTCTTTGAGTCAAGCCTAGAAAGCTCTGATGCCTCAGAGACAGTGCTGTTTATCTCCCCAAACAGGTCCACCTTGAAATCTTCACCTTGTCCTCTGGTCTCCTAATAGATGAGTCTGCTCACTCCGGTTCCAGTTCCATTTGGTTAGTGGGATGTTCTGTCAAGACTGGAGTTTGGTCCAGGAGAGCACGCATCATGGGTGTCAGCAGGGTGTGGGCCATCTTGTGCCTCCTGCAGATCCATTCCATAGGCCCACCCGGCGCAGTGACTCCTGGCGGAGGAAGCCTGAGCTCGGAGGGCAGGAGATGGGCTCGCTGGCTCCTTTGAAGCGGGAGCGGTAATTGCGGCTTTGATTGCACCGACTTCGCTGGTGGGTTGGGCTGCGCTGGGGCTCGCCTGCCCTGGCCCAGCCTGGCCACAGCCCCCCAGCGAAGCCTCAGATGTGGGAAGTCTCCCGTCTCCGAGCGTCATGCCTGTGGTTTCTTGAAAAGACTCTTGATTTGACCAGTTTTATATCTGTGCAGCAACACTGCCAGGCCCCGCGGGTCCCACTTGGGATCGGTCCGCCCCGACAACCCTGTGTATAGGAGCAGCCAGGTTCAGACTGTGGTGCCTGATAGTGAGTTTCTTTGCCAGTGTATTTAAACGTTCCTTCCAGGATTCAGAAAGCATCCCGGTGGGGGGCACATTGCTTTTTGGTTGCCAGCCGTTCAGAGGAGTGCCGAAGCTAGCTTTCCCGAGGATTTGTGAGAGGGCACGGACATAATGGTTAACGGTGGGGACATGTGCGGTGGCCTGGGAAAGAAATGGCTTGGAGAGATGCCGAGCTGCTTCCTGGAGGTGCTTATTCTCTCTGTGGTAAATGCTCCCTGGACAGCCAGGCTGGTTTTCACACTTACCTTAGTGCTGTGCTCAGCTCAAGGGAGAACGAGGCTTTCTGGGGTAAGGTGGAGGGGGTGCCTTGGTGAGCAGAAGTGCAGGGTGCTAGACTAGCAGGTGTCAAGAAATGGGGCCTCAGCAGGGCGGTGGAGGTCTTGACCTCAGAGTCAGACTGCGGCTGGAATTGGGGGTGGATCCCAACAGAGGGCCAGTTTGTCTCCTGCAGCCTGCAGACATCCCTGCCTGCCGATGGCTGGCACCTGTCTCTGCTGTGCCAGGCTGCAGGCCATCAGGGAGAGCGGCCGGGGGCATACCTTCAGAAACCCTCCTTCAGAACTGCAGTGCGGAGAGGAGAGGATTGGGGTCCCCCCCGCCCCGCTCCTTTCCTCTGCCACGGGGTCCTTGGGGACTCCTGATCTCCCATGTGGAGGATCGGCACCCTTCTTACATTCAGAAAACCATGATGCTGGAGCGTGTGTTTTCCTGTTAAACAGGGAAAGAGTAATTTTTCAGGAGCCTAGGAATTGAAGTTGTCATTGAAGACCTCCGCAGCTGACAACACTGTGTGGCTGATTTCCTTCTGCTTTGTTGTTTTACTTTTTCAGTAACCACCCAGATACATAGGTAGTTCCCTCACAGTATCGATGAGTCATTTTGGGGGCCAGTGCTGGTGATGCTGCAGTCACCCTGGGAACAGCTAACACATTCACGGGCGCACCGAGCCCCGGGCACCTTCTCCGCACCTTGGAGGTGCTCGCCTCTCCGCTCGCCTCCGCCCCACGCAGCTTTCTCCCTCCGTGAACAGCACTTCACAGACTGCATCCAGAGTCTAGTTTTCATTAAGAAACGATTTCAAAGCTTCCTTCTATTTATCCTCTAATGTCTCCTTCCACTTACTTTAAAAGTATAAAGAAATTCACTATTAGAATTATTTTTTAAAGAACACTTGAACAAGGACAAACAGGGAAGGCTGCGAGTCCCCTGAGATCGTCAGGGGTTCCGGTAGAGTCTGGCCGAGGCGGCCTCCCAGGGCAAAGCAGGGGAGCACGGTGCTCTCCGGGATGAAGGAGCCAAACGTTGGGGCCTTGACTTTCCTTTTGTGTTTGTCTCATCCTGTTACAATGTTATATTTTATTTTTAAATGCTTTTAAAAGTCTCAGCTCATTTTGGGATTAGGGGACGTTCCTCTGTGTAAGTCATTATCATCAGCAGTATCAACAGTGATTACTCTTACTTGTCAGGGGTACATGCCGAGGCTAACAGATTTTGTTACTAGGAAGGAAAAAAATCTTGAGGATTGTAAGACCTGAAGTAGAATTGGAGAGGCCTGTGCACAGCCTGGTCATGGGCTGTCTGTGGGCGGGCCTGTGCCTCACTGGGTTTAGTCCTGCGTAGGAAAATCCCGCAGCGGCTCCCCACAGTGGACCGAACACTTCAGATGACGGCGCTTTTCCTGATGTGGCCATTGCCCAGCATTACAATTCATGTTTGGCCAAAGTAGTAAATTCATGATCCAAAGTAGTAAATGTAGTTCCAAAAAAAGTGTATTTCACATCATAACCTATCCATACATATACACATAAATGGAGCCAAAATAAACATTTCAATAAAATACACTTATCTCTCATGTGGTCTGGGAACACGGGGCTACCTGCCATGGTGCGGTTTGTTTTAGCCATCACCGAACCGCAGTGTGGGTTCATTCAATGCAGAGATCCGAAGTCCTGTACTGTCTTCAGCAGAGGTTGAACTCTTGTTCAGGCCTGTGGCAAATTCACATTAACAGCGTTTCATGTGTTCCTTCCTGAGGTGGAAAACGAAGCTCATTCCCAACGTGCAAAGCCAAGGCGGCGGCCCCGGGACCTCTGCTGGAGATGGAAGCTTGTTGAAACCCAGACTGTCTCCACGGCCTGCCCAGGCGACCCCAAAGGAGAACTGACACCAACTTCACCCTGAGGTCACTGCTAGAGACACTGATCCATAAAGACAATCACTGCCGAACCCCCTTTCATCTACTGCAAGAGCCGAGTTCCAAAATCAAGCGTAAAAGGTTTTTAAAAGAAAATTAAAAAGCACATGAGAATGCTAGCAGGCCCCGGGCCAGCTGAGCAGCTTCCCCCTTCACGTCCGCCGTGCACTTCCCAGAGCGTCTTGCATCCATACCTGTAACCTCTTGGCAAGGACAGTGACCCGGCTGCCCTCTGGGGCCAGGAGCGCCTGGAGCCGCAGCCAGCGCGTCCATCAGCGCCCGGCGGGGATGTGGCAGAGTTCCCTTTTCCTTTGTCTGCGCTTTTCTTCCTTTCTCCCGAAGCTTTTATTTAACAGTGCAAAAGGATCGATCTTACGTTGGCTTCTCTTTTTCTTTTTTAAACTTGAATTTTTTTTTTTTAATTTACACTTTTTAGTTTTATGTTTCTTGTATATTTTGCTAGCTATGAGCTTTTAAGTAAGATTCAAAGATCTGGAAAAGTTTGAGATAAAAATGAGCAGTAAAGAAGCCACCTTTGGAGCAGCATCTTGCCCAGGAAGTGGCTTCTCTGTGAACGACCTGTAACAAACAGTGGCCCCTCTGTCCTCGGAAGGGTTCGATAGAGCCGATAAGTACGCGTGACAGCCGAATCCACGCTGTTGGTAGCAGTTGGCAGTGCTGTTTCATTTTGTTTTCTCCTGATCTCTTCTTTTTTTTCCCCAAGTGGTAAACCCAGATACTTTGAGTAGACCCGTTTGCAGTGGGTCTTCACTGCGTCCCTCCCCCCCTTCTTGTAAAAAGCCCAGCACTTGAATTGTTATTACTTTAAATGTTCTGTATTTGTATCTGTTTTTATTAGCCAATTAGTGGGATTTTATGCCAGTTGTTAAAATGATCATTGATGTACCCATTTTTTTTTTTTTTAAATAAGGCACAGCCTTTGCCCAAAACTGTCATCTAACGTTTGTCATTCCAGTTTGAGTTAACGTGCTGAGCATTTTTTAAAAGAAGCTTTGTAATAAAACATTTTTTAAAAGTGTAATGCTTTAAGAGTGACGTTCCTGGTCACCTGGAGTTGGTGGTGGGAACTGAACCCACAGGCCAGGCCCGAGCTGGTCTGTCCACGTCCGAGGGGCGCTGCTTTCTGCGGGGACAGGCCGGCGCCTGCTGGAAAGGGAAAGGCACTTCCTGCAAGGTACGTGTATGGCGGCCCGCCACCTCCTTCCCAGGTGTAGCCGGAAATCAGGGCCAAAGGGAAGAAGAGTGTCACCAGGATTCAAACGCGGTCGTCCCCCTCCCCGAGCCGCTGACGTCTGCATGGGCTCCAGGCACCAGCCTGCTGCGTGTCCACACGTGTGCCCTGCTTCCACTTCATAGCTCGTTGGTCCTCAACCGGGCCCCCAAACCAAGGTGTCCCCGCCCTGAAGGAAGGCGTGAACTCCTGCTGCGTGTCTCCCCAAAGCCAGCATTTTCCCAATACTGAGTTTATTTTCAAGAATTCTCCCTTAAGCTTTGGTTAGACTACCAGTGTGCAGGTTGGTATCTGAATTAACCAAAACACATATTTTACATTTCAAACCTCAGTACATCGTGATTCTCCGCACCGGTTCCCATCCCCTGAGCTCGCATGAGGACCATGCATCCCACTGGTCCAATTTAAATTTCTTGCTGAAATTCTATCTCCTTTTTTCAACCTCAGTACAGCTGGGGAACAGCTGGCCACCATTCTTGTAGTAACCCTCCCCACACTGCCTGAAGATTGCCATTAAATCACCCTCGGATTCCTCCGGGCTAAGCAATCCCAGCTCCTTGACCCTTTCATCATCAGGGCTTTAATCATTTTTATTGCTATCCTCTGGGGCCTCTCCAGCTCCTCCTCATTTAGTCCTAACTTGAACCAGGGGAGGAAAAATGTCTACTTTATGTTCAGGGGACCTACTTGTTCTAAAGGTTTCATATTTATTGCTAAATTATCTTGCGTTTTTTTAATGTACATGAACCAAGTAGTTATAACGGAAGACCCCACCAGGCTCTTTCAGGAGTTGACTAGAAAATCCAACAACACGGTGGACGAGGTGTCACATAAGTGTTAATTTGGGTTGGTGTGTGTGTGTGTGGGGGGGCTTGTAGCATCATATTGATTGGCTTTTCTGGATTTTTGAAAGAAATCCATGAATAATAAAAGTCCGCCCCTCAAGTAGACAGCACAGATACAAAGCTGGGAATCGAGCCTTGCCCAAGCTCACTGCAGTCCTCTCCTTGGGTTCCTCCTCCTCCACTTCCCACGCGAAAAGCATGAACAAGCAGTGATGGGCGAAAGGGGTTCGCATCCTCCCGGAGCCAGTGGTTCCTCCCCAAACTCAGTCCCCTCCTCGTCTCTGATTCTGCTTTCAGAATAAACTTTCCGCAGAGAACTCGGATGTCACGGCGTACTGCTCACGCCTGGCCCATCCTGCCTGCACCCTGCTTCCTGCCGACAGTGGTCCTGCAGAAGCAGAGTCGAGAGCCCCTGGAGCTACAGGCCAGGGGAAGCTCTCCTGGCGTCTGCGGGCAGGGGGCCTCCCAGCCACTGCTGCTGCTGGTCTTGGAGGGACGTGGCTTTCTCTCCTGCAGCAGGCTCGGAGCTGAACCGGGTGCCTGTGCCGCGAGGAGGGCGACTGGCCAGCCTTTCTCTGAGGTCACAGTTGGCACACTGGCCCTTAGAAGGGGTGTCTTCTCCTGCTTTTAGTGTGTTTGGTTGCTAGGGTTGCTGGCAACTACCTGTTTAGCAGGAAGGAATCTTTGAACAGTTTCGTGACTACAGATATCCTAAGTACAATAATTTTTTCCTCTATAGTTTGGTCTAAGGCTGCAACAGTACAGAAACCTCTAATCAGGGCCCGTGCACAATAACGAGATGTCTGTGTGGCTTTCCTTTTGGAGAAAGGTCTCGAGGGAGTAATGCATGGTTCTGACAGAAAAGGGCAGCAAATGCTACATGACAGAGAAGTTGTACACGTTACGTTTACTATGCCCGCCACGGGAGGTCCTCTCTCATGCGTAGACTCTCAGGAGCTGCTCTAACTTCCGGAGATACATGAGACACACACACACAATTTCAAACGGCTTTTTAATAGAAACGGAATAGTTTGCAATTAAGCATCTTAAGACTAGTAGAAGGATGTGATTCTAAATGCTGCTTACATAAGTGTATTATGGGGAAAAATAAGAGTGACTTTGTTGGCTCTCACTTAGTGGGTTCCATTTTGGAAGCGGCTAAACTTCCATACCACTCTAATTGGAAAACCAATATTCTTCTCTGCAGTCAGGAGTGGCTGCGAGGGAGGCTAGGAGAAGGGCGTACCAGCAGCAGCTATTCAAAACAGACATTACTCAAACAAGTCAATCTGGGTTAGGACTTTCTACGTATTAGGTAATATAGAATTAATAATTTATGGTAAAACTCGAACTCAAGTGAAAACTGGCTGTTTACTTAACTGACCTGGGAAAACCTGCTGATGTTGCTTAACATGGGCAGTGTTCTGAACCCCAGTAACTGGTATAGAGAGACAACCGGGGCCTCATTTACTCCGTTTCACTGGGCACCTGCCAATGGGCTCTGCTGAATCAGTCCTTGTACACCAGAAAAATGTTTTCACTGTTTGTACGCTTATTCGCCACCTGAATTTGTTGTTAACAAACAAGCATCCTTTTCCTGAACAGTTATTTGGACGTGAAAAACCAGGTTCTCTGTTTGGAAGGAGGTGGCACAGCAGGGAAAGTCCAGTTTGGAGTCACGGAGCCGGACACCACCACCCCCTCCACTGCTGGGGGCTGTGCGCCCCCCGCTCTGAGCTTACCTCATGGGTCAGTGGAGAACACTGACCTCTACAACGGTACAGCGAGGGGTACATGAGAGGGACGCCTGGCACGTAGGAAATAACTAATACATGAATTTCCCCCTGAATTGTTTTGTAATTTGTTATTAAACATACTTTTATTGCCTAGTGTACAAAAATGTTTTTGTAATGCCTATAGCCATGGAACACATGAGCCTATTTCTTCTGTCTGTGGAAGCAATTGGTAGCCAGGACTAACCAATCTGTTCTGGACTCAAGATCAAGGCAGTACAGAAAATGGGCAGTGTTGGGTTGTATTAGGTCATCTACACTGATGTGTTATTAAGTATTTCTTTTGTAATTGTTAATCCTCACCAGAGGATATTTTTTCCATTGATTTTTAGAGCGAGTGGAAAGGAGGGAGAGAGAGAGAAACATGGATGGAGAGAGACACATCGATCCACTGCCTCCCACATGTGCCCTGACCCGGGCCGGGGATTGAACCTGCAACTCAGGTATATGCCCTTGACTGGGACTTGAACCCATGACCTTTTGGTGTGAGGGCCGACACTCTAACCACTGAGCCACACTGGCCAGGGCTATTAACTATTTTTCTTATTCTGTAAGAGCTAGAAAAGTTACCAGCTAAATTAATTAAATAAATTTACTCTCCATTAAGTGTATGGGAGAAACTGGTAGGAAATGTATTGCTAAGTAGAACGATACTGCTTAACTGAACAAACACAACCGTTTCTTTGTAGTCCAGTGGACTTAGATTGATCCTTTTCTCTTTTCCATCTCTAACTCAACTGTCTCAGTTTGCACTCAGTGGAGTCACTGAGTTATTTTTAGACTGGATGGGAGAAAATATGAGGACCCCCACTAGAAGGAGCCCCACCAATCAGCCTGTTTGCTGCCCGACACCTGCTGCAGAAAGGCGGCCCACAGTCTTCAAGTCCAGCTCGCCGTCCACGCCAGCTCGCGACCTTGGGCACTCATGGAGCAAGGCCTGCACAGTGCTCCCGGGCTGCCTGCTGCAGTCTCACCTGTCACAGGCTGTGCCGACCCCAGTTCTAAGGTTTCAATCAGCGGGAGCTGTCTTTCCTGGGTGCCTGGTCCCAGAGGACTCGACCCTGTCCAAGCAGCCCTCACCCAAACAGCCCGTGTCATGAGTTCTCAGGGCCAGTGCAATGGTCTTCATAGTGTGGCCACTCCAACGCTTATGCTGAAGCTTTAGGATGACCGTGTCTACTCCTCCCTTCATTCCGCCCCACCTAGACCAGTAGGTGTGGGGAGCCTCAAGTGGTGATCAGAAACCCCAGAGTGTGGAGTCCCAAGAAGGCTGTGGTCACTGGGGAGGGAGGGGCTGCAAACGGCCAGTCTGTGAATGAGATGTGCTGTCCCTCCCTGATGGCCTGGGATTTGATACAGCTGTGATTATAATAAAAGGACGCTATAAGCTAGCTCCCTCCTAGCTAGAGAACTCCCAACACAGAGGAGACTTAACGGAAAGGGAAGACAACAGAGAAAAACCAAGACATAAGCATTAGGAACTACCACAGGCCTGACTGAAGGTCATGCCAGCCATTGGCAGAATCCACGAGACCGAGTGCTGCAAGGGCAGAGGGTCTCAGACCAGGGCTGTGGATAAACCAGTGTGGACAGCTGTGCAAACTCAGCTCTTGACCACCTCCCACCCCCATGCATCAGCTTTTCACCCGACGCCAGTTAAGCCAGAGCTGCTCACCTGCGGAGGCTCTCACTGCTGAGCCAACCTGGCCAGGGCAAAACCGACCACATTTTTCTAGTGGAAGGTCCCGTAAGGAGGCTGAGGTTCTCTCGGACACCGCAGCGGCTCCTGTCACGAAGGCCTGCATCGTCCCTCAGCCATGCGAAGGGGCTTTGCCCGGACAACCTACACTGTGACGGTGCAAGTTTCCCTTCTGTTCGGACTCCACCACTTCCCTAGCTGCATGTTAGGAACGTCTTTGGACCTTCTTGCTTACACACTTGCTTTTTTCCTGAGGTCTTCAGTCATCCAGTCTACCATCCACACATAAAAAGTAACTTGCCAGGGGACGGTCACCTCTCCCAGCTCATGGGACGTTTTCCCTCCTTAACCCTGCCCAGCACCTCCCCCAAAGCCTGGGAAGACCTTCCGGAGAGCTGTGGGTGGCACCTGGAGCCCCAGCACTCATGGTTTTACCCAGGTGGCCCCACAGCTTACGAGACTCCCTTTTTCTTCGGCCTGTTCTCAATGCTCAGCTCACTCCCCCGAGGGTAAAGTGTTCAGGCTGTCTGCAAGCCTGTAGGCCGAGGGAACTGTGGCTCCCTTCTGAACTGGGCAACGGGGAGAAGGGCTGTCACAATTCGCCTGTTATGCACCGTTACACTCAACATGTGATACCATCGTCTTGTTTGGGTCTTCCACAGCCTGATGAGCAGGGGCCAGCCTTCTGCCCATTCTGCCAGCACATCCAGAAGACAACCCCCTGAGGCTGCACAGCTAACGAAGCCCCTGGTACTGATCATTTATACAGTTACTTCAACAGCTGCAGTTGGTGATTTGAAATAAAGCACTGAACTTGTATCCATGATGGGGCATTTCTGTCTTTCAGCAGTTAAAATTTTGTTCTGCTATAGAAATAAAAATTGTGATTACAAAATACTGAAACTGATTTGAAAAACAGTTTACACAACCATATGGGTTGAAAACAGCAACGCTTCCATTGCTCAAAGCATTTTCAGGCTACTGTTTATGTAGCATCAATGCCTGTTTACGAGAAAATTAGCCCCACACGGTTAGTCACACCTTGCACTTTGGGTAGACTTAGTTAGTTCATTAGGTTTAAGGGGATTAAAATCAAGGTGGGACAAGACAAAAGCTTGTTTCAAATGTGTGAAAAGTGTGTCTTGAAAACCATGAGAAGGCATGGAAGATGCAGAAGCAGTGACTAACGTTAATTCTATCCTCTCTGTCGGTGACTGGTCGAGTCTGAAACGAGCTTCGGAAAGCTGGGTCACAACACGTACTACATGACGTACTCAGTGGGCAGTCATTTTATACCCCGATTTGGTACCGGTTTCTCAGTTCCAGATCTGGTCCCTCCTGGCCCCCATGTTGCACCACTGAACAGTCCTCAAACTGGAACTTACCTTACCACTGATGTCCAAGAAGCTAGCCAACCATTTCCCCCTGAAACGGTTATTAACGGTGAATCTTACGGACATTAAAGGGCCACAGTTTTTATCTTACAAAGACATCTTCGTAACCATGGAAACTCCTTTAGAGAGCACCATGTTGCTAAGCACAACTGAAGTCTGGGTGATGGCTATGCTCGGGGCTCACCTAGTTTTTCAAAAAGCCATTTTATCAATTGCATGGTTTTCTAACTTCATCTTTTATAGGAACATAAGCACTAAGAAGGGAGTATGGGAGAGAGTGGGGGAGGGTGGGGGGTATCCTCTTGCGCTTCCTTCAAGGGCTGGTGAAAGGTCCTGGAGGCTGTTGGGAGGCGAGAGGCCACAGCAGTGGAGCCAGGCCGGCAGCTCTGCCTGGACGGGTGTTGCTGAGCACAGTGGAGCCAGCCCGAGTGCTGGGCTCCTCCTGAGCTCGTTTGCAGTGCAGACCTCAGCAGAGGTCAGCAGCTGGTCCTCACTGCCGAGACCTTCCTTCTCCCCAGGGCGCTCTCGGCGGGACTGAGGGTGCCACCTTCAACTCCCGTGGTTAAGAGGATGTTCAGAGGCCAGACTTTTGACTTGCCAAAAGTGCATTTAAAAACCTCAGCCAGAAAAAGATCCTTGTGACCCACCCCCCTCATATCCTGGCAGGCTGACGGTCACATTGCTGAATTCTCTCTTCCCTGGAATTCAGTGGTCAAGAAAGAGCCTTGCCATTTTCAGGACGAGGGCCACATCCTGTGGGCACTCCAGCCAGAGGAGGAAACGAGGCCCCTCCAAATGCCAGAACGCACGTCAAAGGTCGGGAGCCAGCCTGGGAGCAGTGGGGCTGTCGGACCACAAGGGCGACCTTCCGTGATGGAGGCGTTGGTGGCATCACAGGTGCTTCCTTTCCTTCTTAGGAAATGTTTTCTAAGAATAGCCTAGAAGTTTCCTAAACCAGCTTCTACGTGTGATAAAAATGTCTATACATACTTATGTTCCTATTATGCTATTGTTAGATTGAAGAAAAGAATAAGTCTCCTTTAGTCAATCATAAAATAGAGGGGGACTCTCTCAACCATTACACTTATGCCCAGGACACCAAACAAGGGTGCCCATTTTGGGGACAGTCCTGTTTGAAAGTCTGGATTTGAAATTCCCAAATGTGCTCGTTTGAATTTAATTTTATCATCAAAACCTAGCTTAATCCTGGCTCTGCTACAAAATTTCTGGTGACCTTGTGCACATAACTCAGGGTCTTTGTTAATGAGGTCATTGGACCTCAGGGTTTCTGATGTCTTTCCAGCTTCAAAATTCTATCTTGGAAGACACTTTCTCAAACCAATGATTAAAAGAAGCTTGTGTTACATTATTTCTCTCTGTTGGCAAAGAAACAGATGTTCCTTAAAAGCTATTTCCATGCCCTTAGTATGGCTTGACTGGCAGGAACGCGCGGCCCGGCAGGCCCACGAGCGCCCCCTGCCGCTCCTCGGCCCTGCCACTCGGAACAAGATGGGCACAGCTCTCCCCTGAAGTACCAGCCTTTACTTTTATAACCATGTAAGCATATTATCATTTTAAATTACACAGATTTATTTCAATTCAAATTTTCACAGATTAAAAGATTGTTTATTAGAGCTGATGGAGAGACAGTCCGCAGTGATGATTTCTTATGAAAAATCATGAGATCATACTCATCATTCCTACTCATTCAGGTTTCGGGTGCGAAGGGAACCTCGCCCTGCAGGCCGGGCCCTTGGAGACGGTCCCGCAGGTCAGCAGCTGCGTCTCGATGCGATGCTGATACTGAGGCGGCAGACACGTGCCCTGCCCTGCGCTCCGCAGGCCGGGGAGGGTCTCCCGCGGGGAGAGGCCGTGCTGCGCACAGCACCTCCGCACGCACCTCCCGACGACAGGGACGGCCTGGGCCCTCCGTGGGCCCCGGCCCAGCCCGCTCGGAGGAAGTGCTTCCCCTCCACGAGTGAATCGGTTTGGCAATGCTTTACGAAAGTGACGAGGTTCCAAAGAAATGTTTGCTCCAAGGCACCGAGGGTGTAAAGCTTTTTAGAAAATACACAGAAAGGAACAGACTAAAAAAGGAATTCATTCCCAATCGAGCACTCCGCTGCGGCTGCGTGGGAGTGCGGCGGGCCAGAGCGTTCCTTCGGCCCGCGGGCAGCTGCGGTGCGGGCTGGCAGGGCCTTCCCGGGGCCGCAGGGCCCGCGTCACTTGTACTTGTAGTACCCTTCTCCAGTCTTCCTGCCAAACTTCTTCTCTGCAACCATCTTGTCCAAGGATGGGCTCAACTGAAACAGGGGGTTCTGTGAATCCATCGCATGCCACCCTATCGAGAAGAGGGAAGAGGGCTCAGGGTGAGTGCTGGCTTATTTTCACACTTTGGCACTCCCAGGGCAAGTCGAGAGGCAGAGCTTGAGGGGACGGGTCCCTACTTTGATGTGGGAGAGCCCCGTGGGTGTGGTGCCCCTAGGCCAACACAGCACGCAGAGGAAGGCTGAGGGGCGCAGCACGGGGTACCCAAAGGAGGTGCGCTGCCTGTCTCCCTGCCCACGCGGCTGGAGGCCTGGCTCCTGCCGGTCCAAACCCTGCAGAAATCACCGGCTCACCCGGGCTGGACTGCTCACCGGCACAAACAACCTTCAGAACACGCCAAGAACCTGAATTTGCTGCTACCAGTGCTTTGCATTCTCTTAACATTCGCGTTCAGGCTTCAAGTAGAACCTTCCTCTCTCCTCCCTTCCTCGACAGGCCAGTCTTAATAATCATTTTTACCGTCCCGGAGCCTCAGCAGTAAAATGGACACATTTTAACAAAGGGCCGTGCACCGACTGCAGTACGGAACACAGACCAGAAGGCGAGAGGGGCACACACATCGACGCCCTTTCCGGGCTTTCGCACGCGCTGTGGCTGAGTGACATGGAACCCCTGGGTGACAACGGGAGAAGGGTAAACAGGACCTTCTGTTTTATATTTGAAATTGCATGTGAATCTATGATGACTTCAAAGTTTAAAGTTAAAAGTAAAAAAGGTACCCTGTGAAGACTCTAGGCAGTCATATTTTCCTTCTCCTACCATCTCTCAACCTGACTCTTTACGCTAGTGTGGGCAGGACTTTGGAAAGTATAACTAGACCCCTTATAATTTGTTTTAATCAAACAGGCATTATAGTCATAGTTGAGAGAGATAACCTCAACTCATTTAGGAAAGACAACAGAGAATCCCAAGTCCTACCGTCCATGATGAACTTTACAGTATCCAGACCCACGTAATCGAGAAGCTCAAATGGGCCCATGGGGTACCCAGCTCCCAGCTTCATTGCAACGTCGATGTCTTCCTTGGAAGCGTCACCTGGGGAGAAGTGGGCAGCCCTGAGTTACCGCCATCTTTCCCACAGCGCTCCTTGTCAGGCCGAAAGTTCCAGAATTACTAGAGTTGTACATATTTGCACATTCAAAAAGATTCCGTCTCAGAAGTACATGCCAAACACGTCACAAGGCTTTCAAAGCTCTTCCACCACACTGTTCTGTAAGGAGACTTCTCCCATGGAGAGAGAAAGCCCCCACGACCTGGAAGCATTACTCTCTAGTGAGTTAGAATTTTCCAACCCTGGAATAACTTATTAAAATATCATTTAAAGCAGAGCAGATTTTTGATTGATAAGTGGACTTTTTTTTTTTAAAGAACTTAGTTTTCTGTTTTTGTATTTATTGTATGTGTGTTTCTGTTTTCCAGCTTTCCTGGTTTTACACGTAATGAGTCCTCCTCCGGAATCACGCTCATGAGTCCTTTCGTGGAGATAATGGTAGAAGAGAAGCCCAGACCTGATCCAGAATTGCCATGAAAATGCAAAAGTGTGTAGAGAAGACTAAGACAAGGGACAATATGCTTCTTCCTTGGAATTTCATCCCTAACACACTGTGCTTGGGCCCTAAGAGCTCTTTACAACAAACAGCCTGTCCCCTTTCTCCGAAATCAGAAATGGGAAGAGTTTGTAGTAACTGGCTATCTGGACTTTTGTTCCAAAGCATAAAGTAATGGTCAATTATACCAAAACGTTAAAATATTCAGAGAAGATTTCATACCTAAATATTTCAGATTTTGGGTCACGAGAAACAGGAACTACTTAAACATCTACAATGACAGTTTTAAAAAGCATAGTAACTACTAAAGTAATGCCAAAGGATTTCAAGGTAGTCCAGGGTGATGAAAATACCTGCCAATTATTTCATAAGGGTGACACTATTAGTATTCCACTAATTAGTCAACCAGAGGATCCTGAGAATCATGGTTTGAGTTTCAGGTTGTAAGAAAGCAAAGAGAGCAAAAATGAGCATATACATCTGCCTTATCAGGTGTCCTCATTCATTCATTCATTCATTCATTCATTCATTCATTCATCTTGCATTCGTATCTGTCCTGTGCCAGCACCCAGACTCAGAATGAGACAAAGAAAAACAAGACGAGCACTTGAGTTATGAGTACTCGTGATATAATGGGAGGACTCAGATGTGTGAACCAAAAATTTCACCATAACAAGTGCTAAGATTCACATAGCTGTGTGGGCAAAGATGGAGAGGTTTATTCACACTGCCATGACTCCACCAAAACCACACCAGGCCCAGGTCCTAAATGTCCTGAGGAGGACTCCCAGGGAAGAGCAGGCAGGGAAGGGCATGCTAGGCGGCAGGAACAGCCTGTGCAAAGGCAAGAATGAGAAAGAACATGGCAGCTGAAAAGTGGATTCTGCTCATAGAATTTCATTAAACCCCAAGGTTTCTATGGTGTCAGAACCAGAATGCTGAAATGACAGCCTGGCACATTCCTCTGGCTCAGCACCTGCTGTTCCCTGTGCCTGCTGCTCAGTGTCCTCAGACATCCGACATCTGCAGGCCTCTGCTCAGAGCACCATCTCTCTCCAGGCATACGAACGAGCGACTGTCAGGACTCCAGCCTGGGACCCCTGCCATCTTTCTCAGAGATTACTGGTCGTACCCTAACATGCTATCCTTTGGTTATTTACTAGGGACTGTCTCCTCTCATTAGAATATAAGGTCTCTGGGGGGAGACATCTCATAGCATAATGGTTCCAACTTACCTAAAGCCATTTTTAATCTAATCTATATTTGAGGAGAGGCGATGAACCCTAGAGGCAAAACTGTAATTCCTGATTCAGACTCACTTGACTATTTCAAAAAAATAATATAAAGACAGCATATCATTAAAAAAGAAACTAAACAGTTTTATAGCAAAACCCTAAAAATTCTATTCTGAGTAATAGAGACAAAGAGACAAAAAGAAGAAAGAGAACACTCACACAGACCTGGGTGCCATGTGAGAGTTAAATGTGGTATTGTGTTTTAGACCAATAGTTCCTAACCTTCTTTCCAGTAAAGTACTTCACTGAGAATCTGACACCCTCTCCGAAGAAAAAGTACATCCATGCAAAATCTCGCCTCAGCCTTAGGAGGCTCTTGGGACCCTCCCCCCAGTGAAGAGCCCTCCACTCTGACAACAAGGAAAAGCTTCCGCAGTGACCTCCCAGATCTTCTGCAGCCTGGGAATCTGGGACCTGCCCCATCAGGGCTTTTGCTGGCTCATCAGCACCACCTACCAGTCATCCTTCTAGGCATTAACCATCACCAGGGTCCCAGCGACAAGGACCAGAACCTCTGCGCGGCCACCATTCCTTTATTCAGCAGCAGTGTCCGCAATGACTGTCCTCCACCAGCACTCTGGGGGTATGAAGATGAACACCGGGACACTGCCACCGAAAAGAGCACAGAAGAAAGACACCTGCCATGGCACGGAAAAAGAGGGGCGACTGTCCCATGGGCGAGCCAGAGTGTGAAGACACTGTGCCGATACAGATCAGGCCAAGCCCGCAGCACTGAGGGTAGTGGGCGGGGCCTGTGAGAAAGGGGGTAAGGTATGTGGTGCTGAAGGCAGGGGCCAGGGGTGAGGCTAGCGGAGGTCCTCTGGCAGGGGCACTGTCCTTGGTGACCTCAGAACCACTGGCTATGTCCCGAGCGGGGGAGAGACAGTGTGAGCAGGACATCACAGTGACTGGGGGACAGACTCATGGCGCTCCGTCACCTGTGGCCCCATCACCCTGCCAGAGCTGGCCGTGGCCTGGCAGAGCGGGATCTGCTGGGGACAGCTATCTTATACTGGGCACCAGCCTGTTCAAAGGTGTGGAGAGTGAGCTCTGACCCACAGGGATAAGGGTGCCTGACCCCACCAATCAGGCCTTAGCTACAGTGGGAATGGATGAGGGCAACAGAAAGCGTGAGAACAGAAGCTGAAGGACACTGAGGAAGAAGGCCGACGCAGGCGCCCGAGGCTGAGGGCAGAGGTGAGCGTGGTGGACGCCTGGAGACACACGGGGAGTTGGTGACAGTGCTGGTGGCAGCCTGTGTCTTTCTACGAGTGTTTGGCTGCCCAGGAGGCCTGAGCAGACGATGACTGAGGTGACCCCTGCCGGGATACCCCACCCACCCAAAGCAGCACTGCCAGCCCGTCTCTGTGGAGCACTCCCGGCACAGACTGTGTCCCCCAAATTCATATGCTGAAACCCTCCCCCCAGTGCAGTGGTATGAAAAGGCGGTGCCTTTGGGAAGTGGTCAGGACTAGATGAGGCGATGAGGGTGGAGGCCCCATGGAAGGGATCAGAGCCCCTCTGTGAGCTGTTTCCTCTCTCCGCAGCCTCCACGGAGGGCACAGCGTGAGGCCGGCAGCAGCTTGCAACTGGACCCTCACCAGGACCCAACCCTGCGGCCACCCTGATCTCGGACTTCCAGCCTCCAGAACTGTGAGAAATAAATGTGTTATGTGGTCTTATTGGAGCAGCCCGAGCAGACCAGGACAGTGCTGTGGAGAGCTCTCCTCAGTTCAGGAAAGGCCGGCTACACAGTCAGTGGCTTCACTGTGACTCTGCTGCTGGGCCCTGGGGCTCCCCTGCTGCGTGGGGCAGAGAGCACGCACTGTGTCCTCACCCCCAAGGGCAGCATGACACTTTCAGCAAGCATGGCAGAGAAGACCAGCCAGGAAAAGATGCAAGGCAGCATGAACACCTTGGCTGCCCCAAGGAGCCCCACTGAGGCAGGCTGGGTAGCACTGGGGAGCTGGGCTGACAGGGAGGAATCAAAAGTGACAAATGAACAGACGTGACAGGCAAGAGAGGGATGATGCACAACAGCTTCAGGTTTCAAAGGAGAAAGGACACAGGTCAGCCAGCTGCTCAGCGCAGACAAATGCAACCGGGGTGGCAGGTGTGCACCTCACACCTGTGTTGGCTGAAGGAGGGCAGAACCTTGAGGCAGCAGCAGGGTCTTGGTAAGAAGCCTGAGGTGTGACTGAGGACTGCAGATCACAGCAGGGCTTGCTGGGAGAAGGCCCCGCCCCAGACATCACCCAGCTGCTCCAGAAGCACAGGCTGCGGCTCCCAGGCCCCGAGCAGGCAGCGGCGGGAGAGGCAGAGGGACGCCAACGACAGGGTGCCGAGGGCAGCCTCGAAGGCAAACTAAGAGCACCTCCCCCGCAGGGTCAGCTTCGTCTCACAGGCCACTAGTGACAGTGAGGGTCAAAGGAATGCACTGGTTCAGAAAGGGACCGCTGCAGGGAGTAGGGATAGAAGACAAGAAAATGACTTTCAACTCACAATCAGATACATGGTACATTTGCAAATATATCAAAGTGACAGTATGTTTCAGTGTGAAAAACACCATTAGGAGGTGGATCACCCACGTGCTATATTCTAACACATCACATTACAAAACCAACCCTGCCTTTCAAGGTCGGGCAAAACACTTTTCACTTCTTCCGAGGTGTAATTAGGCATATTTGTTGATAGATAAACACAGAAGTGTTGGTTTGATCTTGGAGCAAAAGTGAGGCAAATGCTCCCATGAGACACAGAGAAAAGTTTTAATATTTAAAGCAGATTTTGAGGAAGCAAATGTGCTTTCATCTCTCTGGAAGAGCGGGTATAAACGTTTTGTTTCAAAATGACATTCTCAGAAACAAGCATTTGTGAAGTAATTGGAAACAATTACACTTACTTTTTATCCAGTCCTATTAAGGCCTCTTTGCCTTTGAAGCTGACATGATAGTTACCTTTCCAGAAATGTGGTGGGAAGGAAGGCGGGAGGATACATGACATTTTATAACCTGGACCAGGTCCCAAGTCTTATATTTCTATCAACAAGTACTGAGGAAACATTTTAGACTAATCTTAAGGTTAAAAAAGCCCCAACCTGCACCATGGCATCATTGGTAAGGCCAGACAGAGCTGTCAGAAACAGTCCTAGGCACATATCAGTCTTGTTACTTACTTCCTATCACACAGACACAATTTTAGAACCCGAAGAAAAGCTGAAGGTGACCTAGCCCAGCGATTTTTACATTATTACTATTATTTTAAGCAATAAACTTTTTAACTCAAAGCAGAGATGCAAGATATAAATCTGGGCTGGCCGTGCAGTTGCTGGAATGACAGTGGAGGGTCCCAGAGCCATATCTCAGAGGCCTCACAGGGAGTCCAGGGGGCCCTGGAAGCACAGTGACAAAGGTACCAGGGTCAGGGTGAGGCTGACTCACACAGCTAGAAAACAGGCTCTCCTTCCCTGCTCTGCATTGCCCGTCCTTCCTGCAGACCCTATCCGAGGGCTCCCAGAGAGCATGCTCCCAGACCTGCAGACCCTGCCCGGGGATTCCCAGAGAGCATGCTCCCAGACCTGCAGACCCTGCCCGGGGATTCCCAGAGAGCATGCTCCCAGACCTGCAGACCCTGCCCGAGGATTCCCAGAGAGCATGCTCCCAGGCCTGCAGACCCTGCCCGGGGACTCCCAGAGAGCATGCTCCCAGACCTGCAGACCCTGCCCGAGGACTCCCAGAGAGCATGCTCCCAGACCTGCAGACCCTGCCCGAGGACTCCCAGAGAGCATGCTCCCAGACCTGCAGACCCTGCCCGGGGACTCCCAGAGAGCATGCTCCCAGACCTGCAGACCCTGCCCGAGGATTCCCAGAGAGCATGCTCCCAGACCTGCAGACCCTGCCCGGGGACTCCCAGAGAGCATGCTCCCAGACCTGCAGACCCTGCCCGAGGATTCCCAGAGAGCATGCTCCCAGACCTGCAGACCCTGCCCGAGGACTCCCAGAGAGCATGCTCCCAGACCTGCAGACCCTGCCCGAGGATTCCCAGAGAGCATGCTCCCAGACCTGCAGACCCTGCCCGAGGACTCCCAGAGAGCATGCTCCCAGACCTGCAGACCCTGCCCGGGGACTCCCAGAGAGCATGCTCCCAGACCTGCAGACCCTGCCCGGGGACTCCCAGAGAGCATGCTCCCAGACCTGCAGACCCTGCCCGAGGACTCCCAGAGAGCATGCTCCCAGACCTGCAGACCCTGCCCGGGGACTCCCAGAGAGCATGCTCCCAGACCTGCAGACCCTGCCCGAGGATTCCCAGAGAGCATGCTCCCAGACCTGCAGACCCTGCCCGAGGACTCCCAGAGAGCATGCTCCCAGACCTGCAGACCCTGCCCGAGGATTCCCAGAGAGCATGCTCCCAGACCTGCAGACCCTGCCCGAGGACTCCCAGAGAGCATGCTCCCAGACCTGCAGACCCTGCCCGGGGACTCCCAGAGAGCATGCTCCCAGACCTGCAGACCCTGCCCGGGGACTCCCAGAGAGCATGCTCCCAGACCTGCAGACCCTGCCCGAGGACTCCCAGAGAGCATGCTCCCAGACCTGCAGACCCTGCCCGGGGACTCCCAGAGAGCATGCTCCCAGACCTGCAGACCCTGCCCGGGGACTCCCAGAGAGCATGCTCCCAGACCTGCAGACCCTGCCTGGGGACTCCCAGAGAGCATGCTCCCAGACCTGCAGACCCAGCCCAGGGACTCCCAGGGAGCATGCTCCCAGAGCACCGCTCCAGCCTGGCTTAGGAAGCTACCTCGTTCGTACAGCCGGATTGCTTCCATGAGGTATGGCACAAGCAGACGGTTCACAATAAACCCAGGTGTGTCCTGTTTTAGGAGACAAAAATACAAGACAGGTACATTTTCACTGAACTGTATCTCTCCCTGGATTACATTGCCCATATTTATGAAGCTATACATTTTCAAAACTTGTTCTGAAGTAGCAGCACAGCCTTACTTCTACTTTACATAACAATTTACCCTACAATCATAGGACTTAAAATAACCAGTGCCCCCACTGCATGGATCCTGAAATAAAGTTAGATCAATAAAGGGGGTCATCAGAAGAGCACGGCTTTGGGGGCAGGCAGATCTGGGCTCAAATTCTAGCCCTTCCAGACCTTGCATGCCCTAAAATTCAGTTTCATCATCTGTGAAGGGGAGTGGTCGTTTCTCCGTGGCAGCTGCCCTACCCTCAGCCCCCTGCCTCCTCCCCTCTCCCATACCCCTTTCAGGAATCTGGAAAAAGTAACACTCAAGCTCCTACCACCTCACAGGTGCAGCACCTCTCCCGGCCACTCAGGACTTTATCCTGTGTCAGCGCACAGTGTGGTGAGATGGTGGAGCAGGGGACAGGTTCTGGGACAATGAACCTGAGACCCACCAATGGCCTTTCACACACACCACCTAGGACCCTGGGTGACCCCTTCCACTCTCTCCCTCCACATGGAAATGCGTCCTCATCTCCCTGGGAGGACTAGTGTGGGATGTGGATTCACCGACTGATCTCTTAGGGGGCTAGTGGGGCAGGCCGCAGTGGTCATCTTTTGGTGGTATTTGTGTGAAACTGATTCCATTAATTAAATGGCGTCCTCTCTTTTAACAAAAAGCTGTGATCTCTCTGTAGGCAGGGGTCCTCACCCTGGCTTTGGGTCCCATTTCTACCACACACTAGGTGATCCGTAACATCTAATTAAAGACGACCAGCCCTGCACACCTCCTACAGCTAACCTAACGCGTGTGGTACCCCTGGGCAGCGAAGCCACAGGGTTTGTACCTCCTTTCAAACTGTTTCCTGCCCCATCTCCCAGGAATATAGAGATGCACAAAAGAGCCTTATCAGTTTAACCAAGGTTATGTTAATGAAACAATGTGGATTTTATAGACGGGCAAAAGTTTTTCAACTTTAAAAAGTTTATTACAGAAACTCAAGACAGGGTACCCGAGTATATGAAGCACACCGTGTACGAGGTGAGAAGTCACAAAGCAGCCTGGGAAAAATATCTGCTCCACTTAAAATATATAAGGTTTTTCCATAGATAGAGATAATATTGTCTACATAAAGAGCTTGAAATCAGGCTAAAACTCACAAAATATTTAAACACACTACTAACCAAAGAAATATTCACTAGAACAAAATAGCATTTGCCATTAAGATGATTGGAACGGATTTTCCCTATGAAAACACTCAGTGCTGTTCAGGATGCTGAGAGAGATACTCCCATAATGTTAGTGGGCTGTAAAGAGGCATTGTCGTTGAATGAAGAGATGTCTTTTTTTATCCTCACCTGAGGACATTTTTATTTTTTTGCATTTATCTTCAGATAGCGGGGGAGGGAGGGGAGATAGGGAGGAAGAGAGAGAGACACATCAAGTGGCTGCCACCCACACAACCCTAACCAGGGCCGGGGACAAACTGCAACTGAGATATGTGCCCTTAGCGGGAACCGAACCCAGGACTCTATGGTCCGCAGGCCGACGCTCTAACTGCTGAGCGACATCAGCCAGGGCGAAGTGATGTCATTTTATGTAATCGTACAGCTTACACTGTTCATGTTCTTTTATGAACTTACTAAATATACTTTACTATAATTATGTGCCTGGCATTGTTCTAAGTACTTTACAAATATTAACTCATGCCCTGTCTAGGTGACTCAGTTGGCTGGAGCTGTCCTGTACACCAAAAAGGTTGTGGGTTTGATTTCCGTCAGGACACATACCTAGGTTGTATGTTCGATCCCCAGTCGAGGAGCGTAAGGGAAGGATGTGGGAGAGGAGTATGTGTTTCTCTCTCACATAGATGTTTCTCTCTCTTCTCTTTCCCTGAAAATCAGTAAAAACATATTCTCAGGTGAGAATTAAAGGAGTGTGTGTGTGTGTGTGTACTATCATTACCTCTTTGTGAGGTAAAGGACACTGAGGCACAGAGAGGTTAAGTAACTTGCCCAAGGTTACACAGCTAATAAGTGTCAGAGCCAAAATGTGAACCCAGTCAGGCTGGCTCCAGAGTCCATAGCCTTAACCTTTACACCCTGTGAAGTCTCACTGTGAAAACAGACACACTGCAGGCATATTAATACCATTCTTCTATGTCAGATGTTAGTAATTACCAGTACAATCCTATAGTCAGTCCAAATCCAGTCCCCCGCCTGTAAATAAAGTTTTATTGGCACACAGCCATGCTCATCCCAGCACGTGTTGTCTCTGCTGTTTTCCTGCAACAGCAGCAGGACTGAGAAGCAGCAGAAACCAAGAGCCCTAAAATACCCACTGCTGGCCCTTCACCTGAGAGCCTGCAGACCGTGTTTATGTGGCTGCCCTACCTTGTCTGGATGCCTCACCAACAGCCTGAATAATTGACCCAGAAAGACTCCCAGGAAGCACTAAGGTCTAGCCTAGAGGAAGTGTTCTGGATGATATAACAAAGGTAATTTTATGGGACAAAGCGTTCCCATCCTGCGCCTGCCGTGGCTACCCCAGTGAGGACAGCCCTTGCTCTCCAGGGGTCAATGACTACGCTGCTGCAGACGGTCACTGCTCGTCCACACGCCCCTTTCAGAGCCAGCGCTGGTCTGCTACACGCCGTTCTTTCTAACAACTACTCCTCCCTGCCCCTCGCCCAGCACAAACGGGTAAGAAGGTACAATTATAATACCTGGTTAGTAACATGATTTTTTTAAAATCCAGATTTAAAACTGCAAAACTAAACAAACAAAAAAGTGAGTGTTAAAAACGTGAGACTCCTTGATAACCGACACCCCTGGGTGGGGGGCTGGCATGTACGGTCTGCTCTTTCCGGCCTCTGGGGCCACGTCAGCAGATGACCTAGATGATCCGTGAACAACGTGCGTCTTCACGGGCTAATACAGTACAGTGAGTTCAACCTTGAGAATCTCTTAGAAAGCAAAGCAGGCTGTGAAAAGAACCACAGTGATGTAAAAGATTATGGTCAAAAAAGCAGGTATTAACGGCCTTCTGTGACACACCTGCCTCTTGAGAAAACTGCCAAGTCCTCAGAAGTGTTGTCCCGCCCTGGCCGGTTTGGCTCAGCGGTTAGAGCGTCGGCCTGCGGTCCTGAGAGACCCGGGTTCGGTTCCCGCTAAGGGCACGTACCTCGGTTGCAGTTTGTCCCCGGCCCTGGTCGGTTGTGCGGGTGGCGACCACTCGATGTGTCCCTTCACGTTGATGTTTTTTTCTCTCTCTCTGTTCCTCTCTCTCCCTCCCACTCTACCTGAACAAAAAATGGAAAAATGTCCTCGGGTGAGGATTAAAAAAAAAAAAAAAGAAGTGTCGTCCCTAAATTTGGGGAGAACTGAGGAGGAGCTAAACATATGGAGAGACTGAAGGTAACCGAAGTGAAGCAGTGGAGAGCAAGTGGGTGACGTCACAGCTAATAATTGGGCATCTTAAGTCAGGGAGAAAGGCTGAGGCCTCCATTCTACCTCACTTCTCGCTGAAAACTACACAACACAAACCACATGCAACAGTCCAGTGAGAACCAGCTTTTCTACTGCAGCCCAGGGCGGGTGGCTGCTCCCCTCACCACCCGACTGTGTGGTGCTCTTGCCAACCGCGAAGCCCTAGCGTTCTGTCTGGGATGCACGTGTCCATCAGGCTGTGCTGGACACACAGGGTAGTTCTGGCTCCCTGGGGCCCAGAAGCTAAAGCTGATGGGGTAACAAAATCCATTTATGGAAACATGGCTGCTCGTCAACAGTTGGCTGGGCCCATTTGGATGTCAGACTGCCCATCTGGTCTTGGAGAGCTGGAAAGGAGGCGTAGCTCGCTCTTCACAGCCGTGGACAGCACACATGCCCCATCTCCTCCTCATTCCCCTGTGCAAGACTGCTACCTGGAGTAAGTCAGGTTCCAGGGAAACCACCCCCTTCCCAAGCTACTCATACTCTACCTTGCAAGTAACAGGATGCTTTCCCAGGCTTTTGCTGAAGTCTATCAGAGATTCAAATGTCTTCTGGCTGGTCATTGGTGTTTTAATAACCTGCAAATGCAAAGTGGAGAAGAATCATGGCCAAGAGTCAGTAGACAATTTTAATAGAACAGCTCAAGAAACACTGACCAAAAGCATCCACACAGACAGCAAAAATAGTTTTTGTTTCAGAACAGAAGGATCTCAAGACAGAAACAAAATGTTCACCAAAATGCCCACTTTAAGACAGTGAAGAACTGCAGAATACACACGATCAAGGCTTAAAATATAAACATGAGTGTACGTGTAGGAGAGTTTTACAGGCTTTGTTGCTGAGACAGACTTGGGCTGACATCCCAACTGCACCACGTACTGGCCCTGTGACGGCATGTTCTATGGACTGAAAGACACTGAAATCTCCCCCTGTCTGAGGAACTGAGGTGAGACTGATGAGATGAGGAGTGAGGCGTGATGAGCAGCCCTGGCAGGTATAGGTGCCCAGTGAACCCTGGCTTTTGCTGGTGTTTTACTTGCTACTGTTCACTACTCTAGGGAGGTAACTAGAAGTCTGCTAGAGTATGATGGTTGCCCTCAAAGACTCTGCATAGAGTCCCAGCTTCTCTCAGTAGACAGGAGGAGTCCCAGAATACTCAGTGATTTGGCCAAGTCACAAGTCTGTTGGCCTTCGAGAGGAGTGTCTCCCCATTATTGCCCCCTCTCATGCCCAGATGCCCCAGAGCCTAAAGCCTCCCTCTGCTTCAGAACAGTATCACCACAGAGGAAGACTTTCATGTCCAGCAAGCAGGGCCAGGGCTGGGGCTGGCCGCCTGCCAGGCACTTCGGAAAGGTGCCTGCAGTCTTTGGACCTCCTACGAGGTGCAGTGCAAGGTCCAGTGACAGTACCAAGCACCATGCCTGGCAGTCGAGAGAATTTACCTGTCAGGAGTTAGACTTTGGCAAGGGGAGAGAGAGCCAAGTGAATCGATACTTTAAAAAAAAATTATATATATATAACTTAAATGCCAGTTAAGGAGCTTCAATGAGAGTCAAAGCAAACAGGCTTGGCTTCCACATCAGGCCCTTTCTATGAGCTTAGGCAAGCCAGACCAGCCCTCCGTGCCTCCAGCTCTCCTACGGAAGGGAATACAGACACGACACGTCCTCCCTGTGGCCGGAGTGCTGTGTGGCCTATTGAGTGCGTGCCTGTGCAAGAGGAAAGGTGTACATAAGTGAACAGAATTATCACCATCCGTGTTTTAATGTGAGCACAGCTTGGGGTGTGGCGGGGTGCTAGGACATTAAGGGACATCGATGAGTGGGACAGAATGCAGCATCATGAAGATGGGGATGAGGACCGGGAGGAACCATGCAGACACTGGTCAGCAGGCATCAAAATCAAACAGCGGTCTGAGCTGACCCGAAGGAGTCTTCCAAAGTCCCCACCAGAACCACACAGGTGAAGCTAGGGCAAAGGCTACTCATCGTGGATTTTAAAAGTAATTTGTTGGTTTAAAGAAATCAATGGCAGAGGTTTTAAACAGGAGGGCTGCATATTCAGTCACTCAACAAACAGCAATATGCTACAGATAATCTGCTTACAGCTCCAACAGTCTGCAAAGAAGAAACAGACACATGTCCAGTGCTAAGGAAAAGAGAAGAGCCGCTCAGACGTACGCGAGAGCTCATGTTAAATAAAGACCGAGTAGAGAAGAGCTCTTTTAGAAAATACTTTCTACAAAATGCTAACATTTGCTAATAAGCACTAGCTGTTAACAACCAACGTGCAACATTTCCAAAGACACAGATGGACATTATCAGATAAATGCGGTCAAAAACATTATTAGAGTTTGAAGTAAATCTATAAAATGTGTCTTTATCTCCAAAACACATCTGTGCATGATACAGTAACTAAAGAAAGTAATTAGTCCCCAAGTACTGAAATGTTAAAAATTCCATTCCACTTCTTTTGCTCTTTTCTGCATAAAAGAGGACAAATGTGGTTTTGTCTATTCCCTGCACCCCGCTCCCCTCCTTTATTCCTCAATGTCTTCAAAACAGCCTTAGGGAATGGGGTAAATTGGAAGAAGCTGAGGAGCAATGTTAGTAGAACAGAGACTCCTATCGCAAGTTGGGTCAGAACTGTCACTTGACAGAAAACTATGGGAAAATATGGTCCTCGTTCACCTAGAAGCTAATGCTCCTGCTGGCGCGGGGGTGGGGGGCAGGGATGAGGGATAAAGGAAGGAAGGGCCCTGGAGGAGCAGGCAGTGGAGAAAACATCCTGAGACACTCTCCCAGGAGGCTCGCAGGGCTCCGGAGGTCTGCCCGGCTCCACGTCCCCCACACTTCGCACGGCAATAAATTCTCAACCTCACAACAAATGCTACTTTAATAGCAGCTGTTCCTCAGACCCTGTAATTAGTCCCCTGTAAAAGGCAAGTTGCCACATTTCAGGTACCAATTGTCTATTGTGACTCCATCTCCATCATCCCCAAGTCTCCACGCAAACAGAAGCAGCCCAGCCAGGAAGGCTGGGGCAGCCCTCCCTGGGCACTCCCTTCCACCTGTGGGTCTGTGGTCAGGAGGTTCAAGGCTATCAGGAGCTCTTTAAGTAGCTCTGATCACAATACCCAAGAGATGTGCCTCAATCTGGGAACAATACTGAGGCCCTATTAAGTGGGACCGAATTCACCCCAGGAGTGGTGGACGAGGTGGTGATAGTGGCTCGTGTGTAAAACCAGGCCGTCCAACAGGAATTCCATCTACAGCCTGCAGCAAAAGGGTCTCATCAAGCCAGTGGTCTTTAGTGTAGCCTTCCCACCAGCTACCGCATAAACAAGTAACTGACATTCCACAAAGTTAACAGCCCTCCTGGACATCACGGGTCAGAACACAGGGCTGCGAAGAAACAAAAGCACAGAGGCCTTCCTTCGGCTCTGGAAGGGCCGGCTATGGTCAGAGGAGCAGGACCGAGAGCTGGCAAAGCAAGCAGACACGCACAAGCAGGCACCCACTGACCTCCACGAGCTTCATCATGGGCACTGGATTGAAGAAGTGGAGCCCGGCGAAGCGGTCCTGTCTGGTGGTGGCATTGGCTATGTTCGTGATCTGCAAAGACGAAGTGTTGCTGGCAAAGATTGTGTGTCTGTGGAGAGAAAGACGGGGGTTATCAGCAAGAGCCCCATCTCGGGAACACTCAGGCCTACTCTCGAGTGCGATGCGCGAGGCAACCGCTTCCTGCCCAGACCTGCTGTTCTGACCCCGGAGAAGTCAGAGGAAAGAAATGTCTTCATAAAAGATGCTGAAATAAAGTGACTTGCTTCATTTAATTTTAAAATTTTATATTAATTTAAAAGTTACCTGTTCTAAAGGTGTAATCTTTGCCAATCTTTCCTTAATTTTATTGAGCAAAATTTCTCCTCTCTACTTGTATTAATTAATTTTCATGGTGTGTGAGGGGGAAAAAGGAGGCAGCTACTTAAACAATCTCAGTCACAAAATAAAACTCTAAGCGATCAAAGACTAAGCAAAGAATGTCGGATGCACCACAGACCCTCAAATGAAAAATGTAAAGAAATCTGAATTCTCAGCTAGAAACATCAGATAAGAAACTTGAAGATTTACCGTGAGTAAAAAGCTTTACTTTTCCATTGAATGGGAACTGAAATGAAAAGAGAAGAGAACAACCTGGTCCAAAAGCAATTTTAAGGTTCCATAAGTAGAACTGGGGAAGAAAAGATACTTGTATACATGTCATAAATGTAGTTCAAGATGTTCTACTCCTAAAAACACACCACCATCTTCTTTTGTGCATATTGAATATTACTAATTTTAAAAAATACATACTGAGTGAAACCAAATTTAACTTAAGACCACAAGAAAGAGGGATGCCAAGGGAAGGACGGGCAGATCTTCAGACAGGCAAGCTTCCAGGCTTCCCTATGGTGCCACCTAGTGGGTGAGTGTACACAGAACAGCCTCATGCTAATTAGAAACACAAAGGCCTGGCACAGGAAGTCCCTCAGACTAGATTTCAGGGTTTCTGATTAACAAAATGCAATACTACAATCTGCCTGAATTCAGGGGCAAGTGGGAGGAGGGGCAGAAGAAACAAGTAATTTGGAAAGAGGAGAGAAGAGTGAGGCGAAGGGAGAAGCCAGTGTGGCTAGCCATGGGCCGGGGGGAAGAGTCCTCAGCCAGAAGAGTGCTTCACTTTTAAGGCACTACAGCACCCACCTTTCTCAAATAACGTCCAAGTTAGCCAATATACAAGCCAGGTAGAGAGGTTTCCCCTCCTCCCCTTTTTTAAAGTTTTAAAATTCTTGTCAAGTCTTGCTTTTTGGTTAGAGGAAATAAGAGAAACTACTGCTCGCCACAGAAGGCAACGTGAAAAGATCCTCTGCAGTAAGAGGTGGCTGCCGCAAACCGCACACCCTGAGCCACAGCAGCAGGAGCGGGCAGGCTGTTTCCACTGGTATTTCAGGACATTTGAAAGGCAGCCCCCAAATGCCAGTGTACAGAGTATAAACTTGTGGATCAGCAGAGTGATGGGGAGGTGGCAGAAAGATAAGTCTCTTCTCTTTGTTAGGGGCAGGGCCTCTCCAGACACCAGGCCCTATGGCTCTGACAGCTGACATTCCAGCTATGCAAGGGTCTCTCTTTAGCCACTGCTCACTGGTGGCTACCTAAGAATTACTTTTATCAGATAACCTTATTTTGACTTTCAGTTCCAACAAAGAAGGGTGAGTGCGGCCAAATGAAACAGAAGGAGGATATGAATGAGTCAGTCAGGTGTCACAACCACCAAAAGCCAAGAGTCAAGCACAGCAGAAGGCTCGACTCAGAACGTGAGCTGCACGTGTGCACAAGCTTGCTGACTGTGCACAGAGTCCTGAGCCCCAGGCACCTGACCTTCCTGGGGCTGGCTGTTCTCTCCCACGCTCTGCCAGAAGCCTGGTCAGAACTTAATGCTCCTTTAATACTCACAAGACTGTTTCGATTTAATACAGATAAAGCTCAAAACATGAGAGTTCTGGGGAACTTAGTATAGACAGAGGCCTCTCCTTCACTTACACCATTGTTAGTTCCCCCCAAATCAGGGGGACACATGAAACTGCTTTGAGGTTCCTCAGCAGACATGGAAGGACATGCCTAAGCCTCCTCCATCCTCTGGCTGGAGAGGGTCCATGCTCCAGATGCTGCAAGAGACAGAGGCCTGTCCCTGGATGAACCCTCCGTGTACCATGGGAAATTCCACCCTTGTTTGGGGACCAGGATCGATCAGGGCAGCCCAAGCCTCAGGAAGCCAACTGGGAATGGCAGATGCAGAGCAAGGGAAATAGCTGTGGGCTGCAGAGGGGAAGTGAGCTTACTGTCAGAAGAAGCCTTCCTGGGAGCAAAGCCCAAGCCTCAGACCCAACGAGAATGCCAGGGCACGTACTCTGGGGCAAACTTATCCAGCCTCTGGAAGAGCTCGTTCTTCACCTTCAGGTTCTCCACAATGGCCTCCACCACCAGGTCCGTGCTGTGGACTATGGATGCTGCGTCCGTGCTGGTCGATATGCTGCTCATGGTCTTCTCCACAAATTCACCACCTGCCTATTGCAGGGGAAGGAAGAACATTCACTGAGCTCAACAGGAAATGGTGCGGGGTTTGCTGCTAAGGTGAGGGAAAGAGGAGGGTGAGAAAAGGCCTCATACCCCAGACATAACTTGAATGCACCCTGAGATGCTGAGAAATAAAACTCCCTTTGTTCCTGCTTAGGGACAACAGCATCTCCATGGACGTTAGACACCAGGGCAAGAATTCAGCCTGTGGGCAACCCCAGCTGTTGGTCAACTTTCCCTGTCGTGGATATGCCGTAATCTTCCCAGCTGTTGGCCAGCTCTGCTCCCGTTACCACTGTCTGCTCACGGCGCCTGCACTGGCCTGCTTATCTATTCCCAGTGACAGGCTGCACGTTCTGGTCCACGCAGACTGTAATCTGTCCTTCCAGAAAAGGGCGAAAACTTAGCTCAGGACCATCTGTTAGTCTGAGAGGTGGTGCTGACTAGTCCCCTCTCACAGGAGGTAGGGAAGAGCTGAGAAAGCCAACAGAGAGGGTAAGAAAGCCCAACTCAGCAGTCCCTCAGCAAACAATAATCGGCCAGCACCTGGTGCTTCAAAAACACGGCAGACACAGCCCATGCTCTCAAAGAGCTTCAAGTCCCATCTTTCCTCGTCGGACTCCAGGTCTCCACAGACAGACGTCAGGGCAGAGACAGGCAGTCCCTCTATCAGCTGCCATTTGGTTTCAAGATGTAATTTGCCCATGGGCATCAAAATGGTCATAATCAGCAAAAGCTCCCAAATCACCACGGAAGAGACAACTATCAGAGCTGTTCAACAGAAACATAATGTGAGAGGACAGGAAATTTTACAATTTCTATTGACTATGTTTTATAGAGCAAAAATAGTAAAATTTTTATTGGACTCAATATATCTAACATACTATAATTTCAAATGTAATCAATATTTTAAACACTTAGATGTTTTATATTCTTTTTCTTTCTACTAAGTCTCTGAAATCTGGTGTCTGTTTCACACTTTCAGCATAACTCAATCTGGACTGGCCACGGGCCAAGTGCTGAGCAGCCACTTGGAGCCAGTGCCCTGTACCAGTCAGCGCAGAGCTGGGGGAACACAGACGTTAGCCACACGGGCCACGGATGACACGCCCCTCCTCAGAGCATGTCCCTGGCAAAGGTGAGAAACGTCAGGAGACAACTCCTGAGCAGTGACTCTTCAGAAGCTCAGGCACCTGGGCACAGGGTCATCTATTTACACAGGATGGGCAGAGTCTCTGCCCACAGGGGATGTCTGCAGAGCAAACAAGTGAAAAATGCAGGTTATCTGGGTTCAGACTCTCTCTGAAAACTACAGGCACCGCCATCCCTCTGATCTTTAAAAAGTGATTAGATATCAAGAAAATGCAAAACCAAAACACGAGATGCCACTTTCACATCTCCGATGATGGCTTTTGTGAAAAAATGGAAAATAACAAGTGCTGGCCAGGATGTAGAATATCTGGAACCTGCACACACTGCGGGTGGGAATGTAAAATCCTGCAGCCACTATGGAAACCAGTTTGGTGGTTCCTCAAAAAACAAACAAAGGATTATAACCATATAACAACCCAGCGATTCCAATTCCACTTCCAGGTATATAACTGAAAAGACTGAAAGAGGGACTTGAACAGAGAGTACATGAATGTTCATTGCAGCATTACTTGTAACAGCCAGAAGGTGAAAACCACCAAGTATCCACTGACAGATGAATGCATAAACAAAGTGAGGTATACACATACAATGGAATATCATTCAATCATAAAAAGGAATGAAGTTCATGGATCGGCCTTGAAGAACTATACCAAATGAGAGAAATCAGTCAAAAATGAACAAATATTGTATGATTTCACTTACATGAATGAGGTCCCTAGAATAGGCAAATTCGGAGGCAGAGAGATTAGAGGTTAAGAGAGACTGGGGGGAGAAGGGAATGGGGAATTATCGTTTATTGGGTACAGTTTTCGGAAAGATCAAATTTTAGAAATAGAGGTCATGGTTGTACAAGAGTGTGAATATAGTTAAAGTCACTGAATTAAAATGGTTAAAATGGCACATTTTATATTATATATTTTTTACCACAATAATTTTTTTTTAAATCCTCACCTGAGGTTATGTTTTTTTTATTGATTTGAGAGAGCGAGAAAGAGAGAGAGGAGGAAACACTGACGTAACGTTTCATACTTCTCAACTGGGGATGGAACCTGCAACCGTTTTGTATGGGACGATGCTCCAATCAACTGAGCCACCCGGCCAGGGCGATGAAAAGGTTTTTAAGGATAACTAGACACATCCCTGTGGATAACCCCACCTGCACTCTCCTCTGCCTGTCTACGGAGGATTTCCATTCAAGCCGCAAGGAAATCCATCTTAAGCAACGTCAACAGGGTGACAGGTAAACAAAAATTCACTGGGGTGACTTTTGCAGCAGTTCTAATTATTTGTGAAGGTCCGAGGAAAAGGAGCCGGTAGACCAGCGCTCCGACCTGCCACGCGTTCAAGTTCTTGTACCTCTTCTGCTGCTGGACAGTGACAATGACTCTCTAGCTTCCTCTCCAGCCAGTACATCAACAATAGGCATAAGGTATTATCTAAGCAATCAAAAGTTTCCAACTAAGTACAATGTTTACGATGTCATTTTCTTTTTAACTTGCAAGTACAAAAATTATCTTGCTGTTTCTCCCTCATCCATCCTTATAACAAAACAGGTGTCATTCAATCCCAAACTCTCGGTGGATAGAATGAGTTCATTACCCACAAAAACTCTGTCCTCAACCTCAAATCCTACCCAACAATATGGTTATGTACTCTTGTTTTCTAACCAGTCTTCTCTGTAGGTTTAGTGATTTATTATTATATTAGTCTAAAGTTACGGAGAAATGCATTTTACATAAACAAACTGCAGAAGTAAGCAAAGGCCAGCACCCTTGCCTCCACCCAAAGAATGTGAAGTGGTCAGAGGACTGAGGATATTGAGAACAAGAAATTACCGTGGGGTTTTCTGCAAACTTCTTCTTGGCGATTTTCTTAAGGCTTTCCTCAATTCCCTTTTTGGATTTTGCCAGGATGTCCTCTGCTTGGTCCACCAACACTACTGTGTGGCCAGTTGCGGCAGCAACCTAAAGCAAATGATAAAAAATAAAAAACTTGTTTAGAAAAAAAAGAAAATATAAAAGTTAAAAAAAGAGTTTCATATCCCACATAAACTCTACCACCATTCCATTCAAAATACTAAGTGAACATAGTGAACCAACATTAACCAGACACACTTTTAGCTGAAACCCAGCTTTCGCCAGGCAGGATTCCAAACCCTCACGTGAACGACGACATCCTCTAAAACCTGTGCCTGGCCTAAATCAGAGTTCCCAAGGCCACGGTGCCACGACTCCCGCGCTGCTCTGTGCAACACGAAAGCCACTGAAATGAAGTAGAATTAAAACGTTAGTTCCTCTACAAAGTACACGATGGTCTAACCACTGCGCTGCACATCTGAAACTTGAACAGAATAATACTGAATGCCAACTGTGACTGAAATAGTGTTCTGGAAATCTCGTCCCGCATACACTGGCCATGCTCATGCTCAAGGCCAGCTCGCCCACCGCCCCCTCGGAGCTGGCGTCCTGTCCTGTGCAGCTCTGCGCCTCAGCTCTTCTCTGCAGACTTTGAACACTAATAACGGTGCAGAAAGGCTCTTGTCCCTAAGGACTGTTTAGTGACCAGACTCCTGTTTAGGAGGGCAATCTCCTCCCTCCCCCATGCCCACCCTAGCTGAATGCTGAAGACACTTCAGCGAAGCTGCCAGAAGTTTGAATGTAACCAGCTTAGTTCAGCCACAACCCTACGTCATCACAGTCTGCCCATGGCTTTGGCCAGGGCTGTGGAATAGTTGCCGTGGCTCAAAACAGATCATCTGGTCACAGCAGAGGCAGGAGTTATAAGTGAATTCATTCAAGCCATAAGTAAGAGGGCACATGACCTAATGCAAATATAAATGACACGGGAGCCAGACACTGAGATGCCCTCTCTGGGCTGAGAAGCTCGGGCAGAACCCCTGCTTCGGACCTTCTCTGGCACTGAGGCTGCGTAGGAGAGGGCAGGTCAGCGAGAATGAACCTGCTGGGGACAGTGAGACGTGCAGCTAACCCTTGAACAACACGGGTTTAAACTGCTCAAGTCCACTTATATGTGGGTTTTCTTCAATAAATGTATCTTTTCCTCTTCCTTATGATTTTTGTTTTCTTTTTTTGTTAATTTTCACCTGAGGATATTTTTTTCCATTGATTTTTAGAGAGAGTGGAAGGGAGGGAGGGGAGAGGGAGAGAGACACATTGATTGGCTGCCTCCCCTATGTACCCCAAGCAGGGCTGGGGATCGAACCTACAACCCAGGTATGTGCCCTTGACCGGGAATGGAACCCATGACCCTTTGGAGCTTGGGCTGACGCTCTAACCACTGCGCCCCATCAGCCAGGGCTTCCTTATGATTTCCTTAATAACACTTTCTTTTCTCTAGGTTATTTAGTGTAACAATATAGTATATAATACATATAGCATAAAAATATGTTAATCGACAGTTTATGTTATTGGTAAGGCTACCAGTCAGCTGTGGGCTATTAGTGGTTACGTTTGGGAGTCAATAGTTATATGTGGATCTCTGACTGTGCCATGGGTCAGTGCCTCTAACCCCACGCTGTTCAAGTGTCAACTGTGTATTATTCTAAACCACCGTCAGATGTGAGATTTGTGAAACCACGCAACTATAACTCAAAGAAAAAAACCAAAAAGGAAAAACAAAACAAAAACAGCAGAAGAGCAAAACTTAAAGGCAAAGAGGTTCAAATCCCAAAGATGGATTTCCACAGAATACTTTTATAATGGTAAGACAGGTTTTAAATGGAAGTTAATTACAATCCTACCCCTACCCCCACCCCAGCTTCCTTCCAGAAAGCTGCAAGTCTGTGCTGTGGGGCCTGGAGATGGTATCTGGTATCGGCACTGCCAATGCCTCCAAACCCACCCAGGAACCCAGAAAAGGAAGCACTGCCGGGATCAGTCTGACAACCCCAGCAGGGCAAGGGGGTGAAGCAGGAATGGTAGTCATCTTGGTAAAAGGTCAGAAGCAGGCAGTCAACTTTCCCTCTGGGCAGAAACCCAGGCTGCAGGCTGGTAGGCAGGCAGTACCATCAAAGTAAAACCATGTCCAGAAAGCAAAACACCCATCGATCCAGACCACGGTTCTCCCTAAGTGATGACAGATCAAGGCCCATCTAGCCAATACCTCAACACTGGACACAAATGTGAACCTCTAATTCAATAAATTCAAAGTAAGAGCAACTTTAGAAACTGCAGAAAAGACAATACAGCAGGCTTGAGACTGTTTACACATACCCTTGGCTGGCATCTGGAAACTCAGATTTGGGGAGGGTTCCCACCATTCCAATAAGAACGGTTTTCTGCACCTGGACTCTGTGCAACGTGGTTGATGCTGAACACCTGCTTTCCTTCTGCGAGTTAGGAATTCTGGTGCCTACTAGGCAGAGGATGCCTATGTGACCAGCCCCAGTCAAAACCCAGGGCTCTGGGTCTCTAATGAGCATCCCTGGTGACATTGCACACATGCTGTCACAGCTTGTTGCTGGGGGAAATAACAGTGACTCCACTGGAAGAGAACTCTGGAAGTTTGAGCCGGGTCACTTCCAGACTTTATCCCGTGTGCCTTTTCCCTTCGCTGATTCTGCTTTGTATCCTTTTGCTATAACAAATTATAGCCATGAGCAGCTACAGCCATCCCTGGGTCTCCAGTATCCACAAGGGGATTAGTTCCTGAACCCTCTATGGCTACCGAAATCCACAGATGCTCAAGTCCCTTATATAAAATGATGTAGCATTTGCACAGAACCTATGCACACCCTCCAGTATACTTTAAATGATCTCTGGATTACTTATAATACCTAACACAATGTCAATGCTATGTAAATAGTTGTTACACTGTGTTGTTTAGGGATCAACTTTCTGGAATATTTTTTCTGAACGTTTTTGATCTGCAGTTCGTTAAATCCATGGACACACAACCAGCAGACATGGAGGGCGCACTGTTTAGGCTGGGTCCTGTGAACCCTTCTCGTAAATCACCAAACCTGGAGGGGGGGGGGGAGTGTTGGTGGGGAACCCTGACACAGAAACTAAGAAAGTAAATCTCAAATTCCAGATGGAGCTGGTGATGAAATCAAACTGCTTTGAGACAGGCGCCCCTGGGGAGCAACAGCAGGAGGCAGGAGGGTGACTGCTTACTGTGCATCCTCCGCAAGGCTGGGGCGAGCAGGCTGCTGGCTGGAGAACTGCTCGTTTTTGTTTTGGCTCCTGTGTTCTGCCAGTCCCTCCGGAATGACACAGTGATTTTCACTTTGTTCCTTTAACCTCTGACCCAGATCATTCTGGCTAGGCCAGGCATACTTCCTCCCGCTCCTGGCTGCCTGTCCCAACCCGCTTTCCCCACACTCCACCTCCAGCAGGCATCACTTGGGCTTTTTGGCCCCTCAAGTGTTGGGGGGTAGGGGATTCAAGTACCTTTGGCACAAGATGGAGCCAAAGCTGAAGGAAACAGAGGGGGGAAAAGAGGGCAGTGTCCTTTCCCTTAGAGACTTGGTAATTTAACTTAGAAAACATGAAAAACAAACAATATATGGTTCCACACGTGGACTGTCAAACAAAAACTGCCTTGGCGAGACAAGAAGGCTGGACAAGAGCACATCCAGAAAGGGCCAGGGTCCCGAGGAACACAGTGCTAACCTTAAAGGGGCAGAACAAGACGGGAGGTATGCCACACCTTTTGCTAGAAAGCCACGTCCAAAGTGGTCATCATGCTGTCTGATTGTGACAGTCAGGGGACATTTCTGTTGTTGCAGATGAACCTTATGGTTCTGTTTTTAGACGTGTAAGCAGAACCAAACCTGGAGAGGAAGCACCCCAGATATTCAAGTAAGCCTAGAGACATTATAAAAACAATAAAATTCAACCAAGGACAATGATGGCCAAAAAGCATTTCAGCCTAAATGCTGACTCTCCTCCACGACTATCAAAAGTTCCTCTGACATTTGCAGTTTGTCCCCGGCCCTGGTTGGGTCATGTGGGTGGTGGCCACTCGATGTGTCCCTTTCACGTTGATGTTTCTTTCTCTGTCTTCCTCTCTCTCCCTCCCACTCTGTCTGAACAAGAAGTGGAAAAGTGTCCTCGGGTGAGGATAAAAAAAAAGTCCCTCTGACAAACTGCCGTCACCTCTGCAAGAAGACCAGGTCATTCAGTCACCACCTGGCTTCGCCCTGTGTCTGAATGAGCACACTACAGACAACACACATAGTGGACACTGGCCAACAAACAACTATTATTTCAAGGTAACCTTCAAGGCAGCAAAGTGCACGTCAGGTGACCATGTGAAAGTGATGGAGTGTGTAAAACATTTGTTAATCTCCCCCAGTCACCCAGAAGAGAGGCCAAACCTGACAGAGGAGACCAGCAGATTTTCCTTCCCCATGTGTCAGTGGTCAATTCTGGTTCCGAAAACGTCCCTGAGTGGCACCATGTCTCGCTGGTCTGAAGAAGCTGCTCTTGTGGAACTCAGCTCAGGGTTTCTCCCCACCTCAAATCACTGGAACACTTTCTATAGTTTTGGACTCTCCAAATGTCTAAACTGGTATTTGTGGTCTAGTGAGAAGGAAACACTTGTGTGCTCTAAATGGTTATCCCTAGCAGGTTTTTTTATTTTTTTGTAAACACTTTCTACTTTAGTTATTCTTTCCTTGGTTAATAATTCACAAAGCTTCAGGAAAATACAAAGGAAGTCATGTGGTGTAGTTATTCCAAGACAGACAGAAAAAAGAAATACCTGTTTCAACCTAAAGTGAATATTGGTTGATCTGAATGGAGAAAATAGAGGAGAAAAAAAATTGGGGGGTGGGGGGGTGGGGATGTAGAAGAGGTTTAGGGGGTATAAATGGTGACGGAAGAGACCTGACTTGGGGTGGTTGAACACACAGTACAATATACAGATGATGTACTACAGAATTGTACACCTGAAACATGTAATTTTATTAACCAATGTCACCCCAATAAATTTTTTTATT